GGCAGAGTCAGAGAGGTGGGGGGCTGACTGGGGAACAGGTGACACAGGACCCCTCCAAGGGCTGGGCCAAGGAAAGGGAATTTTGTTAGAGGAATAAAGCAGGCCAAGCTGCGCCAATGGGGTGGATAAAAATGAGCCCACCCCCGGGAGCGAGAGCCCGCTGGAGCCATGGCAAATCAGAGAGAAACACTCCCCGGGGGACATAACTAGGGGGCAAGTGGGGATTGGTGCAGAACCAATACTACCAGCAGGGAGAGCAGTGGGGCTCTGACACCCAAGCCCGCCCTAGGGCAGATCGGAGAACAAACTGGAGGCAAGGCCCTCTGGGTTTTCCTGGCTGCATGACAGAGCCTGTCAATCCAAGCCCTCTGCAAGTCGGTACCTGTTAGCGCAGGTTTACACACCCACACGCCTGGTCACGTGCTGTTCTGAGCTGTGCCCAGTGCCCTGGTCGCTCGCAGGGCAGAGACGTGGCCTGTCTCAGAAGCAGAGCTCTGAAGTTGCTCTGCAAGCGCTGCTCCAACGAGGAACTCCCTGCAGCCCGAAGCAGGCTCCTGTCGCGCTGACAGCAGAGCAGCCTGGAGGAAGGATGGTTTGTGGTTAAATCCCCAACTGGGACTCTGTAATCTGTCTCCATGTTACCTGGCCATGTTACTTGTGAGCCAAGCAGTCTTGCCAGGGGTCTGTAATGGAGTGAAGCTTGCTGGTTTACTGTCCGGTACACTGGGTAGGACAAGACCTAAACAATGATCAATACAGTGAACCCTCGTTTATCGCGGTAGATAGGTTCCAAACCCGACCGCGATAGCTGAAAATCCGCGAAGTAGGGACACCATATTTACGTATTTGGGGTCTTCATATATCGCGGCTATTTTCGAAATTTCCGGAAAATCCGCGATATATTTTCTTTTATAATAGAACTGTACTGTAATGAAAAAAGTCCGCGAAGTCGTGAATCCGCGATGGTCGAACCGCGAAGTAGCGAGGGCTCACTGTACCTGATTCAACCTTCCTCAGGAATTACACCCCCTTTAGTGTGTAGCAAAATGCAGGACAATGTAGCACTTTAAAGACTAACAAGACGGTTTATTAGATGATGAGCTTTTGTGGGCCAGACCCACTTCCTCAGATCAAATAGTGGAAGAAAATAGTCACAACCATATATACCAAAGGATACAATTAAAAAAAATAACAAATATGAAAAGGACAAATCACATTGCAGAACAGGAGGGGGATGCGGGGGGGGGGAAGGAAGGAAGGTAGGTGTCTGTGAATTGATGATATTAGAGGTGGGGAGAGTGGGGTGTCTGTGAGCTAATGGTGTTAGAGGTGATAATTGGGGAAGCTATCTTGGTAATGGGTAAGATAGTTTGAGTATTTGTTCATTCCTTCTCGGAGAGTGTCGAATTTTAACATGAATGACAGTTCAGAGGATTCCCTTTCAAGTGCAGATGTAAAAGGTCTTTGTAGCAGAATGCAGGTGGTTAAGTCATTGAGAGAGTGTCCTTTCTGGTTAAAATGGCAAGAAACTGTTTTTTCTTTGTGATCTTGTCTGATATCTGTTTTGTGGGCATTAATCCTTTGGCGAAGTGTCTGAGATGTTAGTCCAATGTACATAGCAGACGGACACTTTCGGCACATGACTTGTTAGTCTTTAAAGTGCTACATTGTCCTGCATTTTGCTTCAGCTACCCCAGACTAACACGGCTACATTTCTATCACCCTTTAATGTGTGACTTTCATCCTACTCCAAATCCGTTCGCCCTGGAATTTTCAAGCAGTTGACAGGAACACTCCACCTAAGAGTACTCCGCTGTTCCCCCCTTCATGGACCAGGACTTCCCTGTGCTAGGCGCTGTACAAAAACAAAGTCTGGACAGATTTATTGCATGCTGAGAAACCCTTCTGCAGAGATGACCGCTGAAGAACCTCTTCCATCGAAACAGCAACCATAATGCACCGTGTCATATATAATTTCACACGCAGCTAATGAAGCACAAGTGCATGTCTGTCAATAGCGAGAATCAGGTGCCGGCAGGAAAATAAACGTGAGACAGTCAACGCTCCAGCCTAGGATGCTACCCCCTCAAAACTGCTGCCTGCTTGAACCTGGAAGTTAAATTCAGTCAAGGGGCTGGGGTTCTTATCCTACTGCCAGTAGCTGTTCTCAGGCACTGGGTTAGGGCACATCTGCTGCTGCAGGGTATCCTTCAGATATTAATGGAGCAACTAAGAAATTACACAGGGTAAATGGGGAGCGTAGGGGGTTTGATGCTTCCCCAGAGTGATGCCACAACAGGGAGAGGAGGGAGTTTATAGCTTCAAAATCAGTGCAGCAAATATTCCTGTTGAATCCAGATGCCATTCTCTGTCCTGGCTCTGCAGCATTAACAGGTGTTGAAATACTGGGTTTGGTCACAAAGGCAAGCAGCTCTCACTCTGAATACCCACAAGGAGGCCCTCTGTGGAGTAAGGAGAGGCCTTTTCAGAGTACTAAACACAAGGGCTATGTCTACACTGGCGGCATCTTGCACCAGAAATATGCAAATGAGGCTAAGCGTGGCATATCGCCGAGCCTCATTTGCATACCTAATGAGCATCCATTTTTGCAGAAGAGGCTCTTGTGCCAGAAGGAGCTGTCTACACTGCCTCTTCTTGCGCAAGAAAAACCCTCCTGCGCAATGCCGTTATGCCGATTATTTTCAGGAATAACGGCATTGCACAAGAGGGGTTTTTTTGCACAAGAAGGGGCAGTGTAGACAGCTCCTTCTGGCACAAGAGCCTCTTCTGCAAAAATGGATGCTCATTAGGTATACAAATGAGGCTCTTTCTGGCGCAAGAAGCTACAAGTGTAGACATAGCCAAGGGGTTATTATTTATTTGCATTGTGATAGCACCTAGAAGGCCCTCCCCCCACTGTTTCCCCCAATCAAGGACGGGGACCTCATTGTGTTAGGCTCTGTACAAATACAGACACAAGCCAGTCCCTCTGGTACGTTGTCAAGGGCATTTGTGGTTTCTTGGGTGAAAACCAAACCAATAGCACTAATGATTTGGGAGCAGATATATTATGCTTGTAAGTAAAGGTATGGTTACTTTTCAGAGGGGAATAAGGGTGTGTTATTTGTTCCATGGATCACAGGGGGCAAATGATAAATTATTTGTAGGCCAGGCATTCTGTTAACTGCAAAATTTCTCCATTTCTGAGATACTGGGCCAAATATTGTACTGCTCTCAATAACTGCCCAGTGACTCCACTGCCATCAATGAAGTTACTGGGGTGTTTTTATCAGCAGAACAGCAGAATTTTTATGCATGAATAGGCCAACAAATGCTTTTTATCTACACTTTACAAGAGATGAGACAACTTTTGTCAAATTACCTTGGAAGCCTTCCATCTCTTGTCAAGTCCTCATAACTATCACGGTGAGCTAATGCTTGGCAACTCCATTGGCTTTAGCAAGGTGCGTGATTGTCTTTGGAGCCAGGAGCTCCCGTGCTGGTATCCATTAGCACTTCTTAGCCTCACAAGACCCAATGTAATTACAGCAGTGTTTCTCTACCAGTGGTATGAGTACCCTCAGGACTACTCCAGAGAAGTCTTGGGGCGGGAGCGGGAGCGGGAGCGGGATGTCAAGTTATCTGAAAGTTGGAGAAAACTGAATTTTTGTTTTAAGTTCTACAGCATTTTATTATTTTTGTACTTTTTATACCCCAAAATTTCATCACCCGCCTGGCTACGATTAAGTTGACTCGTGTAAGTTTCTCAGATTCCCATGTGCCGTGCTCATTTGGAAGTATCGTCACAGTTCTCGTGAACATGCCACAACACCCGTGATAAAGCCACGTAGTGAACAGCGTAGCAGAAAGGCTGCAATGTTCACAGACACTCCAAGAAGGCACTTGTGGGAAAGCCATGTGTGCCTTTTAGAGGCAGGCCGCCTTTTTTCCTATGAGTGTGAAGGAGGGGAATATTTAGGGTTTTTTAAAATCTAGGGAATTAAGTTAAAAATACAGTTCAGGCCCCATCAAGGTTGTACAGTTCATGTTTTGTAAATAGGGCAACAAAGTTAAACCAGAGGGCTACGTCTACACTGGCATGATTTTCCGGAAATGCTTTTAATGGAAAAGTTTTCCGTTAAAAGCATTTTCGGAAAAGCACGTCTAGATTGGTAGGATGCTTTTCCGCAAAAGCACTTTTTGCGGAAAAGCATCCGTGGACAACCTAGATGCGGTTTTCCGCAAAAAAACCCCGATCACCAGTTTCGCGATCGGGGCTTTTTTGCGGAAAACAGTACTGTGCTGTCTACACTGGCCCTGTTGAGCAAAAGTCTTTCGGAAAAAGATTTTTGCACGAATGGGAGCAGCATAGTTTTTCCGGAAAAGCACTGATGATTTTACATGAGATCGTCAGTGCTTTTCCAGAAATTCAAGCGGGCAGTGTAGACAGCTGGCAAGTTTTCCCGCAAAAGCAGATGATTTTGCGGAAAAACTTGCCAGTCTAGACACAGCCGAGGGGTGCAGCCAAGTGGGGAGAAAAGCAGCCCTTGAAGGGTAAAGAGCCAACTCCTCTGTTAATTAGAAGTGGGTTGCTGCAGGACAAGCAGGAGCAGGTGCAAAGGGGTTGCAGGGCTACCTTGGCCCAATCAGAGTCAGCTGGTTCCACGTCAGGCCTGCCTGAGACCTTTTAAAAGTCTCTCCTGTTAAGCGGAGGGGAGATAGTCATGCAGAAAGGCTAAGTTATGAGACAGCAGGCGTGTGAGGTATTCCAGAAAGTGAGGCTGAGCTCCCTACCTCTAGGGGGAAATGGCATGTCTAACCCCCTGCTAAGGGGAAGGCTGACTGCCCAGACACAGCAAATGGGGGGTGTTTTACCCAAGGCCCTTCCCACCAAGGGGAGACATGCAGAGGCAGCTATAGGAAAAAACGGGCCCCTGCCACAATAGGAAACACCCAAAAGGACTGCAAAATTAACTCCTCCGCCTTGCCAACGTGTTCTATTTTCCACTCCTGTTCCTTCATAAATATGTACATCTCAAAAAAAGATCTCTTAGCATTGGAAAAAGTTCAGAAGAGGGCAACCAACATGATGGGGCGCTCGGAACGGCTGCCATATGAAGAGAGATTAAAAAGATGGGGACTTTTCAGCTTAGAGAAGAGGAGGCTTAGAGCAGATAGAAGAGAGGTCTATAGAACCGTGAGTG